ATCGGCGTCACCTTGTCCCACGCCGCCACCGGCAGCCTCCCCTTCGTCCCCTTCGGGGGACCTCGCAGGAACAAGGAGATCATGTAGGTACCACACCAGGCTGGGAGGTGGGACTGTGGCTGGTGGCCCTGGGGGACAACCCAGCTGTGGCTCAGAGTGAGCCATCAGCACCACGTGGGTACACGCTGCAGTTCACTTCTTATTTTGTCCCATATAGTCTAGAAAGCCCTGAAATGTAGCCCGTGGAGAGTGTGCGTGCACAGCGTCGTAAAGGACCTGTGTCTCATGTACCATGTTTGCCCTCAAAATGCCTTCTTGTGGCTTTGTGACCAAACAGCTGGAAGAGGAGGCAGGGTTAACGTTGGCTTGAAAGTTTTTGACCATTTCTTGAAGTATTTTTCTCTGACTTTCTGTGAACCATGTCTTTCCCAGCCCATCCATGCTCTGCCCTTTCCCTCTGTGCCTAACCCGAGGGACATCCTGCGCAAACAGAGGTCACTTGGTTCATTTCAGCTGGAAGCAATTTCCTTTCAACAGGTATAAAATTACCAGTGAAAAGCCCTCTGGAGCCATTGCCGGGGTCCAGAGGCAGGAGAACGGGAACATCGAGTGGAGCTACGAGCTGCCGGTCACCTGCCAGCTCTCCACGTGAGTGTCCCTTGCTGGGGAGGTCCTTTGCTGTAGATCCCATGTCCTGGCACCTGGCTGGAGAGGGACATCCCACCCCAGGCAATGCAGGAAGTGTTAATGAGGCTGATGAGCTTCTCATCTGCAGATGTGACAGCTCTCAGAGCAGGTCTTGGCTTTAGAGCCGGGGAAAAGGAGGTGAAGGGCAGGGCTGGTCAGTGCAGGAGCTCAGCACTGCGCCTCTCCCCATCCCCAAGGTCACCCCATTTGTGGCTCGGGGTTGTGCTGGTCTGTGCAAACAACTCTTCTTCTGCTGCAGGGGGCTGAAGGACCAGCTGATTCCCATTTTGGCTAACATCCTGGAGGTGGACCAGGAGAAGTGCTGGGGGTTCGACCAGTTTTTCGCGGGTACCAATGACATTTTGCACAGGATCGCGGTCGATGTCTTCTCCCTGCAGCAGGCTTCCTTGCATCGCATCTACATCCACTCCTACAACACGTAAGGATGCCAAGGCTGCCTTAAAAGCGAATTTGGGAATTGAGGTCGGAAGCCTCAGCCCTTCAGTTCAGGAGATGAACCTGCGGGGAGCGCCCGTGCCCTTTGCACCGCAGATAAACCAGGTTGAAACAAGCCGGGCTCAGAGCAGCCCTGGCTGGGGAGGGCACTGACCGGGAGCTGCCAGCTCCTGGCACAGCACAAGGTGAGCCCCAGGGAGGTTGTCCCAGGGCTCTGGGATATTTGCTACAAGAAAAGGGCAGCAGGGTGTTAAAGCAGTGGAAAGCTGAGCACTCGCCTCATCGCTTATTCCTCATCACTTCTTTTTTTTTTTTTTCTTTTCAGTACCACCAAGTTTTTAGATGCTGTCTTCAAGCAAACAAACATAGTCCCTCACAACCAAGAATACTTTTTTGAAGGTCATCTGTATGAGCTGGATCCTAATCTACAAGCTCATAATTTCTGCAAAACCACAGAGCACAACCCTCTGACGTTGCTGAGCACTGACGAGCATCCAGGAGACGTGGTGGGAGTGAGATACAGAGACCGTGAGTACTGATGGCTTGGAGCTGCACCTCGGCTTGTAGGGTGGGTGCTGGAAGAGAGATGTGCTTCAATTCTTGTCCTGCTAGACTCCAGCAGGAGGCGGAGAGGTTACGGTGCAGGTTTCGGGGTCGGTTTTCCCCTGCCCTGTGCTGTTGCTTCACACCCCCCCGCCACGCCGGACTCAGCCGGCGGTTCATGCCTTTGTCCGTGTCTGTCTTTCCAGCGGCGCTTGATTTTCCGAAATTTGTCCCCAAGGTGGATGTGGTGGCCGACTGCGGTGCAGCCAAGGTAACTGGGGGTGCCCGTGCGGCCCAGGGGGTGCTGATCCATGGGGGCACAGGTGCCAGCAGTGCCCTTTTGTATTTTCAGAGCGCGGTGGGTGCTGCTCACCAGACCCTGCGCATCGCCCGGGCCCTGCGGCGCTGCCGGGAGCTGCTGGCGAGAGGTCTCCACTGGCTGATGTGAGTGTGGGGGGCGAGTGAGGGAGGAGACCCTTCCCTTGCCACACCCAGAGATAGATCTGTTAAGAGTTAAACCTCTTGGGGTTGGTTTGGTTTTTTTGCCAACCTTTTCCAGACATTGCAGGACTGCTGGGTCTGGTGGGATGGGTTGGGGGGCATCTGGGAGGGAGCACAGCACGGTGGCCAACGTATTCTCCTGTATGAAGGGACGCGTGTGCAAGGCTGAGGGGTGGGCTGGACCTGCAGGAAAATAAAACTGGATGGTGTGAGGGTTCTCCTATCACCATTTGTTATTTTTGAATTACTTCTTTCAGTTTAGGAGATGCTCAGGAAAACAGCATCATCATTATTATTGTTATTACTATTATTCTTACTATTATCACTGTGCATTTTCATTGTCCTACCCATTGTGGAAGCCCCCTCCCTGGGAGCGTTCGAGGCCAGGCTGGATGAGGCTTTGGGCAACCTGGTCCCTGACCCTGGTGGGGTGATTGGAACTAGATGATCTTTAAGGCCCTTTCCAACCCAAACCATCCTGTGATTCTCTCGTTCTGTGATTTCCTTTGGGGCTGGATCTTCTTGTGCAGTGACAGGACAGTGCCCTGAGGGTGACAGCCCCCCTGCCTAGGAGCTGCACCCAGTTTTATGTGCATCCAGCCCCCTGTTTTCTCATGAGCAGCCAAAGAGAAGCCACCAGCTCCACCCTAACCCCCCACCACGTGTGGCCAGCCCTGGGATGGAGGTCGGGCTGCTGGGGGAGCACATGTTGGACAGGCTCTTTTCTCTCTTGGCAGCGGGAACCTGAAAACGGAGTGCTTGAGGATTTTGGAGCAGAGGAGAGGGGCTGTCTCGGTGCTCACCTGCCTGGAGCTGACTGAGGTGAAGACCCGTGTGCTGTAAGTGTGGCTTTGCATCCCTGGGGGTGCAGGCTCTGGGCTGTGGCAGGCACCGGTGCTGTCCTGAGGCAGCTGCAGATAAGATACAGGACTCTCAAAGCTGCCTGAATTATCAGTAATAAGTAAAATTCCAGCAATAAGCTGGTGGCTGGAAGGTAAGAAATATTTTCACCATATGCAGAAGCTGTGGGAAATGTGGGCTATTTCACCCTCTCTGCTTGAGATTTTGGTGATCAGCCCCTATTTTGCAGGATCCCACAGGCAGTCCTCACTCCCTGGCTCCTGCTCCAGGGTTTTCGTGCTCTGTGAAGTTGCAGAGTAAGTACAGGAAAGAGACAGGACTGGCTGC